GTCTGAGGGTTAATGTGTGAGTTTTAGAAACACAGTCTAAGTTTCTCTTTTGTCCTTATAAAGGTTTATGTTGTGTATATTAAAGAACTTAAAATGTTTCAGTTGTAGATGCCAAAAGAATTTCTGCGTAGTTTACTTGACTTGGAAGTAATTAAAGCAGTTTATGTGGAGGTTTGTGAGATGGGAAGTACATTTTTAAACAAGTTGAAGATGGTTAAAGTATGTTTATAATTTTCTGCAAAGAAAAACTGACCAGCGTTGAAGACTTCTTTTAGATTAAGTGTACAATGGAAATCTGGATGTTCTAGAGATGTTCAAAGAGGTCATTAACAACCAGACTTTGTCATTGAGCCGTTAAGACGCTCACGTTTGGTTTATGATATCCCTGAAATCCCGTTTTGCAACCCTGTGAATAACACCTCAAGTTTGCCTTCGGGAACGTTCCGCCGAGGATAAGAGGTGGATATAACTTAAAGTTAAGAGGGGGGGTTATTAAAGTAGGGACCGCGCCACCCTCCTAGTTATATATCTCTGGGCTCTTTACATTTTTATAGACCCTGGTCCGTAAATCTAAGTAATACTCATCTCGGGAGACCTAGGGAGTTTTTAGGATTGTCTCAAGTGTCTGCCCCGGCAGTTGCTTCGCGGGGAGGGTGGGCTCGGTTCTTTCCTTTTACTTATTAACTTTCATCAGGCCCCCAGGATTTTTTGCCAACTTATTTTTTTCCCTACCTCGATTCTCATTCCGTTTTTTTAATTTTATCACCCCGTTGTTGTTTTGTTTAGAGGGGGATACGTATCCGAATCGCTCTATTCACCTTATTTTCTGTTTCCATTTAAAAAAAAAAGCAAAGTTTGCATTATTTAATGCACCAAAAGAACAATGCAATGTTGAAGTGAACTATTTTATATTGTCATTATATAGGTTTATTAAAAAAATGTTTATTTTTTATTCAAGTACCTTTGCATACTTTTATTCTTTCAGTTTCGTTTTTAAATCATGGGCTATCATGGTGTCTCTGGCCGGAACGAATTAGCCAGACTGGATACCGTAAGGTTTGATGGATGAAACGACCGGTATGGTTTACAAAAGCGAGCTTCGTGACCAACCCTTATGACTGAACAAAAGGGTCCAGTTCTTATTGTTCTCTAAGATATATGCACTTCGTGGATTAGTTTAACACGAAAATGTTTCCAATGATTCAAACAAATTTATGTAACGCAATGTAACAAGCAAGTGTTTTAAGAAAAACAACGAGTTACAAAAAAAAAGAAGCTTTTATTTATATTTTGACATTATAGATACATGAACTTTTTTGCAGATGGTTTAATTGAAAAATGCGATAAAGGTTAATCATTAATGAATTACATTGCCCATAAAACTAAGAAGAAAACAAGACCACCGGATTTTTGAACGAAAAAATGGCCAACTTTAAAACTCATATTTTCTCAGCATTTTAAGTCACAGACTTGAGCTGAACAATATGACTTTTTTAAATGTTTTTCTTGTTAAAAGTAGGTTGTGAGGGGATATATGCTTCAGGAAGTAAATTTAACATGATATATATTAGATATGTCTCTGCAGATTTTCTCAAGCACTTTAAAACGCATATTTTCTCAGCCTTTTAAGTCACGGACCTGCGCTATGTCTCATTTTATAGAACATTTTACGCTGAATAAGATGGCTTTTTTTTAATGTTTTGATTGTTAAAAGTAGGTTGTGAGAGGATATATGCTTCAGAAAGTAAATTTAACATACTATATATTACATATGCCTCTGCAGATTTTTTGAAGTAGTGGCGTAAAATTTGCGAAAACATAACGGTTCAAAATTTATGTATTCTTCAAAATCGGAAGAGAGAGTGGTTTTTTCCTAAAAGCTAAACTAAAAAGATTAACAAAACCACTCGAAAAATTGGTCAACTTTGGAAATGCATATTTTCTCAGCCTTTTAAGTCGCAATCGTTCGCTAGGTCTCAATTTTTAGAAAATTTTACGCTGAAGAATAGCTTTTTAAATGTGAAATTTAAAATATTGGGTTGTCCGGAAAATAATGCAGGATTTTAAGTTTTCATTAAAAAAAATCTATATAAAATATTCTGTNTGGGAAATTATTTTGATTAAAGAACATTGCTTTAAAGTAACTAGTTTCTTTTTTTTTGTTTAATACCAAAATCCTGCATTATTTTCCGGACAACCCAATAAATACCTGGATTTTAAATATTTTGGAGCTGTTTGTAGTATTGCAGTTGCATTAATTTTTATAGTTGAATATGGTTTTTACCAATATACACTATCCATTAAAAAAAACCCGACCACCTGATTTTTGAACGAAAAATGACCAACTTGGGAAATGCATATTTTTTCAGCCTGTTAAGGCACAGCCCAACGCTAAGTCTCATTTTTTAGACAATTTTACGCTGAACAACAAGGCTTTTTAACTGTTTTCCTAGCTTCAATCCTTCATCAGTAAATTCAAAAATTCGAGAACATGTTAACTTTTTCACTTTTTACGAAAACTTCAAATTCAGCTGTGGAGCCTGGAAATTGTCCTAGGAGTGGCGCCCTATAGCAATGGATAGGAAATTTTAATAAACTTCCAAAGGGGTCACCTTCCATTTTATCCGATTTCTCAAGTTTTCGAGCTCGCCATCACTCTCTCTCTCTCTCCCAATTTTACCATACATAAACCTATTGTTTCAATACGTTACAACACTTGTGAAATGGGAAGGAAAAGTTGAATTTCCGTGATGAGGTAAATACGTGGTTATCGACAGCAGAAGCATTCCGCATCCCAAAAGGTCAAAGTAAGAAAAGTAAGAATTGTTTACTTATTGGAAAAATCCTCGAAACAAAAGTTGTAGAGCGTAAAATTTGCGAAAAAAATGACGATTCAAAATTTCTGAATTCTTGAAAATCAGGCGTGAGAGACTGGTCGGTATTTTTACGGTAAAAACGTTTTTTCCAAAAATCGTGAATAACTCGAAAACGGTTGAGAAATCTGGCAAAGTGGAAGATGACCAATTGAAAGCTTATTAAAATTTCCTATCGATTGCTATAGGGCGCCGCTCCAGGGCGATTTTCTGGGCCCCACGGCTCAATTTAAAGTTTTCGTAAAAAGTGCAAAAATTGACATTTTCCAGAATTTTTGAATTTACTGATGAATAACCGAAGCTAGGAAAACATCTAAATAAGCCATTTTGTTCAGTGTAAAATTTTCTAAAAAATGACACCTATTTCAGGTTTATGACTTAAAAAGCTGAAAAAATATAAATTTCCATATTTAGCCATTTTTTTGGACAACAACCAGTGGGTTTTTTGATGGGCTGTGTATTTGTGTTTGTCACAATATACTTTTAAAATTATTTGAAACGCATTTGGAATCCAACTTTACTCATCATTCAGTTATAAATGATGCATAAATTATGTATAACGAATAGAACAATGGTACGAATGCAAACCAGCGTTCCACCAGGGAGCATTCTTGGTTTTATCCTTTCTACCGTTTATACAGCTGATTTTCCATATCCGCAATTCGTTCTTCTTTCCAGAATCTTATCCACATAACCACAAATCCAAGAAAACATTTAGTTTCTAAATTGGTACAACCAGAAATCAAGAAACAAATAAAAAACTAATTTAACTGAAACGTTTTAGCTTTTAGTAAGGGGTTGTGTCAATAATTCAATTGCTCAATTTGAAGTTAGTGTAAAAAGTGCAAAAATGAACACGTTCTTGAATTTAACAATTTTTTGAATTTACTGATGAATGACTGAAAGGAAAACATCTAAAACAGCCATCTTGTTCAGTGTAAAATTTTCTAAAGAATGAGATCTGGCACAGGCCTGTGACTTAAAAAGCTGAGAAAAATTGGAAATTTTTTCCTACAAAAATCTGATGGTTGGTTTATTCGATGGTCAGTGTGCATTCATTCAAATGTGTTTAGTCCAAAGAGGGTGTGCTTTTTTGATGATAATGCTTTAAAAATGGTAAAAATCATATTCATGACATGTACAATTTTGAATAATGTAGTGTTAGGTTTACAAACACACAACTGAAGATGTCGAGAAACCAAAAGTGATTGAAAACGACCAAATAACAGTTTCGTCATCCCACTGAGGAGAAATTTCACAACATACAGCGCCCATAAGGGTTTTAACATTTTTCCAATAAAGGATCATGATATGAAAGAAAATATAATGTTTTTATACTTAGTCATTATTATTGAAAATTGGGATTGTAATTGTCTTATGAAATTCATGGAAAAATTGTAACAATAAATCTAATTTATTTTTGGTTAAATATTAGATTTTCTAATTTTCTAATAGATTAGCAACAAAATAGAGCCACGCTCACGATAAGAAAATAAAATTTATTTTTCTTAACAAATTTAATTTGGCCGTTATCCATACTTGATCTATTTTGCAGATAAATTAAAAATTTGAGTATAACTATCTAGACATTTGTATGTCAATATTGTTTTTTTTATGTTGATGGTATGGAATTTGATTTAAGAAGAGTTTGAAAAAAAAACAAAAAACATGACAATCGTCTCAACTGATCGCTCACATACGAAGTAAGGGTATGCGGGGGGGGGGTGCGAACCCCGTAGACGAGGGGATGTTTTGTCTCGAGAGGGTTGGCATAAAACTCGTGTCCGAATGGGGCGCCGGATGCGAGTCGCTCCGAGGGCAAAACCGTCGTCTGATTTATCGGAGGCCTGGGGGCGGAAGCAAATCCTATATAAATTAGCCGTTCAGCCGGCTCTACTCCACCTTGCGACCCCACCTTTCAAAAACAACTCGAAATATTGTACACAAGGGCCCTTTAGTCTAGTTTTTGCACTGCCCCTTCCGGATCGAGCACCCCCTACGTGGGAGTGTTTACTATTCATACCCATGGCTCACTTCACTGTGGTTTTTGGGTTTTACTATCACTGGCTTGACCCATTAATTAATTTATATTTAAATAGAATAAATCTCTTAATGTTCTGGACCTACCTATCTTGCTCAGATGCACGTATTCTGCTATTTTGTCTGATTCCTTTATCCTCCTGCAATAAAACAAACAGAAATAAATTAACTTCTACCTCAAAACAAGATTTATAACTATTCATATTTGTTTAGTGGTCATAATTGACCATTTTAATTATTCTAATTAATTATTATTTTCATCTAAGGCTTTTCATCTCAACAAAAAACCTTAGATGAAAAGAATAATTAATTGGAATTTATAACTATTCTGTGACATATTTAAGATTTTTATGCCACCATTGTATTTTGTTAAATGTGTTATTGTGCTATTGATGTTTTTTAAGTCTTACAATTTTTTCATTGATAACGATTGCACATTTGAAAAAGTCATAGTTGATGGATTATTTATTTAAAAGTGTTTTGATGGAAATTGAATATTACCCTGGTATACGTTCTTTCTTAATCTAATTAATTTTTTTCTTCCTGAACAGATATAATAAAAGACAAACAAGTGTTAAATAAACAAAAGTCTAACCTTAAAGTACTTTACAACTTCCAATTAATTAATATTTATGAAAGGTATTGGTTGAGATAAAAAAGTCAGTGTCACGAGCGGGATTCGAACCCACGATCTTCGGCTAGATACGCCGCTGCTCTACCTCTTGAGCTATCGTGACTTCGATCCGCTCGGACACCAACTTCCCATCTCAACCTCACCTCTCGAATTTCCGCTCCTTTTTGCCATTTGGAAGTTGGTGTCCGAGCGGATCGAAGTCACAATAGCTCAAGTGGTAGAGGAGCGGCGTATTTAGCCGAAGGCCGTAGGTCCGAATCCCGCTCGTGACACTGACTTTTTTTATCTCAACCAATACCTTTCATAAATATTAATTAATTGAAAAATGTTACTTGGTCAATCGGACCACGAACTGTAATAGAGTTAGAATAGACTTTACAACGTTGATTAACAGACACCTGATTGTGCTATTAGTACTGAAATAGCACACTTGTGTTACTAACCCTCTCGTCTTTAAAACAGTTTGCAAATATTTTTGTGTGGTGTTTAGTGACAGTTAGTCGATAATTATTCGGAAATCGTTTTCATTTTCTTTATCGTGCCAACGTTTCGATCTTTATTGAGATCATCTTCGGGGCCTGGGATTTATAAACGTAGTTTAAATTATACAAATACATTTAGGATGTAAAAAAATGAATTTATACAATGCTAGAAATTTTAGACTTTATCAAAGTATTTGTACTCACTCAAAAAGTTTGTTTTCTGTGTATATGTGTTATTATTGTGTGTCGTGCTCAGAGTGCCACTGAGATATTGATATTTTATATTTATTATATACGTTGGATTTTGAAGGGGTTGGAAGGAATATTTTCGAATATTATTTTACCCTATTATTTCAAAAGGCAATGGTTGAGAAGCTCTGAGCTTGATAATCTCTGAATATATTTGTTTGTTTAACCTGTCAGATAAGTTTCCAAATTTCTATAGTTTGGTATAGTTAGTAGTCCTTTGCTTGACCAGGTATTAATCGCGTTATTAGTAAAAGTAAAAGAAATTTTCACCCAATATTAAAAAGTCCATATTGTAACGATTAAAATGAGAATGTTAAAATCTACTATCATGTATCATTTGAAAAAAATGTTGAAAGTAGCTAAAAATATGGAAGATTTCTTTGGGTCAAGCAGCTAAACATCGTCCCACTATCAAATGAAAATTGATTTCAATCGATACATTAGATAATCTAATTTCTATAAATGCAAAAATATCATGAGACAATATGCCCTAGATTTGTAATAAATTTAAATTATATTTATCAAAGCGTGAGATGTTGATAAAATCGCAGTAAAAAAAATAATTGAAAAATAGCCACAAACCTACAAGATTAAATCGTATTGTCATCTTATCAACAGAAAATCTTCACATAATATTTAATTACTATTTGTCCCACACTCCTATAAGCAGTAGTGGATCTTGCGAAAAAAAATATGGAAAGTGCCTAAAATCAGAAGTTTCAAAGAAAGCTCATGGAACATCCAAAATTGTATTACTACTAAAAGAAATCTTCATATAATTGTTAATCCATCTTTAAAAGTTTGAACTACACTTAGTGTTGTAATAAAACGTTACATGCAAGATGATGAAACGTACTATATGCATTATTTGGGACAAAATAAAATTTTGCAAAAAGCTAAACACATTGATTTACTCGAATTGACCTGCTACAAATTGTTTTCTTATTAAAAGAATATTTTCACATAATAAGAACAAATTTTTGAGCTTATTTCTTTTAATTCAAAAACAATACAAAATTCTAAGAATTTGATGAATTAATCATGGATTATTCTCAATTATGTCCCCTGTCAGTTTCTAGTGTGGAATATTTGCTTTACCCGGTCAATGGTCAAAACAAGTCAATCAAATGGATAAAACATGCCATCATGATCAAATTAATTTGCTAAGATTGGTTAGTGTATATTCGCAATACAAATTTAATAGTTTGGCAGTAAAGAAAATTGCATTTATTCGCTAAAATATCTAGAAAAATCTTCCGACAGTGGCACCCCTTCTTGAGTTGCCTATTGAAACGCCTCTCCCCCGTACAATCTGTCTAAACCTCTTAAAATATAAATAAAAAGCAAGTTGCGCGTAAAGGATGATTGGTGACAGTTTGTTGTGAGACGGTAGTTGTTTGTCGGCGGACCGGAAGGAAACCCAGGCTGACGTATGTAGTGGCAAAACTGACTGATCAAGCGGAACTGCCAGCCAGCTCCTACATCGGCCGGGGGCGAGAAATATATATAAAAGTTGGCCGGGTCGGAGTGGTCCGAAACTTGCAACAATAGGCCAGATAGAGCGGTGAAGAGGCCCCAGAAAGGGTTCTGACAGGAGCATTGAGCCACTTTAGATAGAAGCCTTTTTCACGGTGCGTCAAAACAACCCGCTCCCCGGGATAAAACCGCTTCCGGCACGCTTGCAAGAGACACGTCAACGCTTTGTGAGAAAAAGAAAAGAAACAACTTACTAAGCTTGAAGATAACTTGGATAAAAGTGGATGTTAGGTGGTCGGCTATCTTCAGAAAAGCAATCCGTCTAAATTAATAAACAATGGATTTTCATATTAGTCGTATTTTTATAACTAATTATCTGTCATGTCATATATACATCATCATATTCAGCACAGAAAGATATTTATTAAGTATTAACGGCGAAAGAAACCTACACTTTGGAAAGACAAAGAAGGAATGTTGGCTTAGCCTATACATCAATTACAATATTACATTATTTTTGCGATCTGACTATAAATTTCAAAATTTTAATCAAATGTTTTTTATTTTAACTTTTTATATTCAGTAAGTTTCAGTTTCATAGTTCTGATATGGGCGATATATTTTTAAAAACCTAGGTAAAGTAACTGAATGTTTTCTTTCCATTTTATTCACCTATCCACTAAAAAAGTTAAAATTAATAGTTACCAATTATTATTATTATTTTTACTCGGATCACTCAGAGAGAAATTTTTTTCAATATAAATACATAAAAACGGCCTAAGAAATTTACACTTCGGAAAATCAAAGAACTGCTGCTTTATCCTTTACGTCAATTACAATTTTACAGTATTATTGCTATCTGGCTATAAATTTCAAAATTTTAACCAAATATTTAATATTTTATAACTTTTTATATTTAATAAATATTGTTTCATAGTTCTGATATTGGCGATATATTTTTAAAAATCTCTACGAAATAACTGAGTCTTTCTTTTTATTTTATTCACAACCAATAAAAACGTTAAAGCTAAATGGTTACCAATTATTATTATTGTTTCATCAGATCACTCACAGTGAAATTTTTTCAGTTTAAAGTCGTAAAAACGGCGCACAAATACTACACTTCGGAAAGCCACGAAAGAAATGCTGGTTTGGTCTATACTTCAATTACAATTTTACATTATTATTGCTACATGGCCATAAATGTCAAAATTAACGTTTTTTTAAACTTTTTATATTTAGTAAATATAGTTTTACAGCCCTGATATTAGCAATATATTTCTAAAAAAAAGGAACTGATTTGTTTATTTTTATTCTATTGAACTATGTAAATATATGTATCTACACATATAATTCTGCAAATCTCCCTCCCTCTCGCTCTGTCTCTCTTTTTCATTTTTTCTTCTACTCGCTCTCATTCTTTTTCTTTATCTTTCCCTCCCTTACTTTTATTATCTCTCTTTCTTTCTCTTAGGTCCCTCCCTGCTCTTTATATCTTTGTTTGTCTGTTTATTCTCTTCTGTTTCTTTCTTTGTCTCTCTCTCCTCTCTCTCTCTTTCTATCTCTCTCTGTAATTTTATCCTTATCTCTCTCCTTACTCTAACTCTCTTCCTCTCTTTCTTTCTTTCTCTCCTTTCTATCATTCTCTCTCTCTCTCTCTCTCTCTCTCTCTCTCTCTCTCTCTCTTCCTCTTTCTCTGGCAAGTGGCAACTTTAAAATTATTTGTGCAAATTATATAGGAATTACTCTGCCTGTTTTTTCAATTAACAATACGAACTTTTTCAATTTTTTTTTCTTAACAGGCAACATATTAAAATTCAAAAACTAACGTGCATAAAGCTAAGTTAAATAAAGTTTAATTTGCAATTTAAATTATGATTTTAAGGGGTAGCGAACGTTGCTCTGGTAAAAAGGTAGTTCTAAATTTTTTTACAACTTCCCATTTACAAGATAGATTTAAATTTTGGTTAGTATTTTTTTAAAGCAAAGTATGCCTTTTCTGGTTAAGCATTCAACTTGAATTTATTAACTTATTTCTATCATTAATTAATGTAATTTCGGCTGTTTAATGACAAGTAACTAATTGTTTATTTTTTGATATTTCTTCTAGTATATTACGAAATCTTATCTAGGATTGTTAAAAAATAGTCGTTAGTTTCGGGGCAAAAATTTCAAGTTGTGACATAATTTTAAAACCTTTTATACAAAGCGAAAAAAATATACTGCTCTTGTTTATTTTAAATTGATGCCTATTATACGATTATTTGTTTATTGTGCATTAAGAAATGAAAAAAAATTG